TCAAAAATTAAAATAATAAACCTCCAAACAACGGCCATTTTTAATGTTCCCGTCAGCGGTCGTTATTCGGAGGTTTGACTGTATTAGGCTTGACGCTATTAGAGTTTATAAAATAAAAATCTAAGCACCAATTTTGAATTATATCTCAAATTGAATTAAAAAAAATAATAATAAATAAATAAATTTCTTAAATTCTATTTTAAAAAATAAATAAAAATAAATCTTAATTTCAATTTGTTATCTGTCTTTTTTATTGATAAAGATTTTTTTATTTTTTAATCTATTGGGAATAGAAATTTCAAAATTATTATAGAAGTTGAATCATAGAAGTTTGTTGCCATTTCAAACAATGAAGTCAGTTTCAATTCTACGTATTGACATAAATCCTACATACCAATAGAAATGAATGACGTTGGAGGAATGATATATACCATTGGCTATGAAATATATCTTTTCACTTTAATAAAGCGAAATGACAGCTGTTTCAATTTTTCATGTTGACATAAATCCAAATATTTTATTGGATTTAAACAAATTTAATTTATATTTGCATTTTTATCAGTATATGTGCCATACACTTGTGTTTTATTTTGTTAGTTGAAAGGCAGCAGTAATTGCTATTTTTTATCCTATAAATTTAATTATACACATTATTTTTCCCGAAAAATTGTCTCTGTATACTCCTGTTTCTTTCTTTTTATAAATCTCTGAGTTATTATGAGTCAATATTTAATACCGTGGAACTTCTAAGCAACGGTCACTAACGGGAACGTTTCTTACGTTCCTGTTAATGGCAATTGTTATTCGGTTCGACTGTATTTGTAAAGATTTGTAATTTGAATTGCAACATTACTTTTCATTATTTTATTTATTTATTTTAATAATTACTTAACTACGTATTTTGACTAATAATTAGCAATTGTTGTGTATTTATTATTTATCAATAGATGGCGACACTGTTTAGATTTCGTTGAAATATTGTATGTTTATAAAAATTGTAAAGTAAAAAAATAAATTAAATTAAAAAATATTAAATTTAGTACTTTTTATGCTTCCATACTTTAGCTTATCAGTAAATATGACATATATATTTAAAAATAATACTTAATATAAAAATGAAATTGATCATAAATTGAATATCTCGCCATCTTTCGGTTTAAATTGAAACCATTTATAGTATTATTTATATTTTTTCTATAGTTAATGTAAAGAAGCTTAATCATAATTACGAAACTCAATAATTGTTAAAATAAGCGATTAAAATCCTCAAAATTATTTAAAATTCGTTACTTTTTACAGTATTACAATTTTCCCATAATTTATCAAGAAATAAATCGTGGATTCATTAAAAGATGGAGCCACCATCGATTAAAGGCAAACGAAGAATTTTTTTTTCAAATATTTATTACTTCAATAACGGTGTATTTATGTATTTTAATTTTAAAATGAAATATATAAATACAATTGGAAGATAGTTGGTTTGGTGGTTTAGTTTCGCTGGAGCTTACTAACGAGCAGCTTGCCAATTCGCAAATGAATAGAGACATCTGGTGTCACTTCCCCTCTACAGAGGGCGTCACGCTCTAAGATTTTCAAAAGTGATGTACCCACAGTGGTTATGCCTTATCTGCAAACTAGTATATCTCCTCCAAAATCTTTCAGCATCATTTGTTATCTTGTGTATTGCACAGCTATTTAATCATTGTTGCCATTACACATTGACTCGTTCAACGTCCGACTCGATCAAATTCTAAACAAGCCAAAGAAGGAACTTGAATCGAGATCCTTATCGCACTTTTCTTTAGTATTACTTTGGGTAATACAAGTTCAGAGAAATGTAAATTTTTATCTACCAAGTAACTGGTTAAATAATTGAATTTACGTGTAAACTAAGAGGCTCGTATCTTTTATAATCAGTAGAGGGGGAGTGGGATTAATTAGTCTCTGGAGAGGTGGTGGATTGATTAAAGGGTTGTTTTAATCAACTTTCGGAAATTGCCAGGTACGTGAATCATTTTGCACGGAGACTAAATGAAATCCAGTGGTGTAATTGATTTAAAAGTCAATTTACGGGCAGGAAAAGTGCTTCCCACTTGGTGATATTTGAGTTCCTAAGTTATATAGAGAGAACAGTTTGAATGTGTGATAAATCCAGGAAGAAATATCCTTTTAAAGTCAAAGCAACGTCTTCAAACATTTATCTGATATAAAGATATCCTGCAGTGTTATGTCAGAGTCCTTGAAATTTGAAAAGGATTTCGAAAGGGGATAGTGAATAAAAGAAGACTGTGAACCAGAGGGAATATTGCCACCCACGTCACTTCTGAACTCATAAATTACGCTAGGATTTATATTTCCCAGTTAAATTATGTGGGCTCACAACATAGAAAAAAGTTAACGAGCATTACTTTTGGATTAAAGTAAACAATGGTCTAACGCCTTTTTAAAGGGAGAAAACAAGTCATGCATTCTATGATTTGTGATGGAGCACTTAGTGACTTCGCTTTTGCAGAGGATCTGGTAAATGAGGTGAATCAGACTAGGTCCATCTAATTATCTTCGGCCTCCACTATTGTATAATTTCGACTCGTTTCCTTTCTTGCTTATGGTTTCCATGTTTACATCTACTTATACAGAATATGTTTAGAAATTTGCAATGAAAAAAAATATGATAGTTATTATTATTATTATTATTATAGAAGAAAAACAAGCGTTCGGGCATGAACCCATAATGCAAAGAGAAACACGGCAGAGAACTGTAGAGCCCAGAGGATCAAAAAGGGGACGACTATATATTACTACCACTCAACACTTCTCCCAAAAGTCATCCGACAAAGCCAGACCTTCTCCGGCCAAAAACCATTCATTTATCGGACAATGGGTTTGACCGTCTCCCATTCCCGCCTTCTCTCGACGGGTCGTCTGAGCCTGTCACGTGATCAGGCGTCCCACAATGTCCCATCTGTAAGTGGTAACGATCCTCTCTGCCTGGTGTAGCTTTTCAAAAGTCAAGTGGTGTGTTGAAAGGCCCTGAATAAGGTGGTTCTTCGATACTATGGACCCTACCCAGATGACAGTTTTCATCTACTGACAGCACGATCCTATGAATTATCTTAATGCTGCCATAACAATAAATGAGTAGGCATTAATTTTAAGAGTTTTTTCCATTTCCCTTTTATCACGTATTCTATTTAAATCACGGATGAATTTATTATTTAAAAAAAAAGCGCCGAAAATTTAACGTGAGAGTGTGAATGAACAATTTAAATTCACAATTTGAATGCCTGGAATAAATAATCAAGATTTTAATGTATTTTAAATCAAATAAAAGTTGATTTTTTTACAAATTTCTACGGCCATCTTGTATTAAATTTGTAAGAAAGTTTCATTGTTAAGAGTTTAACGAGCATTTTTCATTAATTTAAATTGTTGAAAGGAGACACACCTCGATATTCTAGATAAATGCTTTTGGTGTAAAGTACAGTTCTCTCCTTTTCCTACGAAATTTTGGGAGAGGACATACAAAACGGGATGCTTTTAAATAAACGATAGAGAAGATGGATTAAAGTAGTGTGCACGCTTTACATTTTCGTGTTCCTGTCGAGGGTAGTAATGAATGGACGTAAGCGGGAGGTGAAGTGCTACTGAATAGGATGAGAAGGTTGACAAATTGAAAATGTCACACCCAACTTTGACCGATCACCTGCCTCTACTTGCTTCTTGTATTTTCTCATTATCATACAATAGCAAAAAAGAAAAATTTCATTTGTATTTTTAATAAAAGAAGTGATCGGAGAAGGGATGAAAAAAAAAAATAATTGAAGTGAAAATCCTAGCGCATCACTTCTCACGTATTTAACATCTGTCACCGAAGTAAACAATGGGATATGTTAAATCTATTAGGGTGTAAACAAGGTATCGATTTAGTTAACGGCACGTGGGTGGCACGTGTCGTGACGTTTTTCGCGACTGGATTCTGGTCAAACAATGGATATGGGAGATTTCGATGATTAATACGGATGGCTTTTTTTTAACGATCTCCCTTTATAATGACTATCTACGCTTGACGGGACCTTTATCGAATTTACTACTATTACATGTGTACTTTGTCTACTACTATCGATCTAAATCCCTGTTATGTTCGATTTTGTTAATAATTTCTGCTTATTTACGCTACTTTTGGTTAATTTAATTATTTACAAATATCTTGCCGTTCAGTCGCACGAAATTCTCGCTTTAATAAGTTTATATTAGTAAACACGAGAGATTTCTATCACACGAATTGATTTGACAGGGCATCATATAAAATTGTCATATGATTCGGGAAATAAATTAGATTATATTCTTAAAATAATCTATGCTTTCATTTAAGGAGCGCAAAAATTATAGGATTAAATCAAAATTTAACTTTATGTAAGTAATGTCTAATAATTTTCATGATAATAAATAAAAATTACAAAATTTATACTATTTTAAATTATATTTTATTAATTATTAATTATTTTTATAAATTAATTGATGATAGCTCAGTTAAGCATTACATTATGAAGGCCTACTCTATAAGTAACAGAGTAAATTCTGCATAATAGGCCTATCTTTAACGTAGGTTGCACGGAAATATTGAAAATTGACCGTATCTCTGTTTAATTTTCATTTAAAAAAATACTATTTGTGGATCTACTAATGATAATTTATAAATGATAAAATATCTGGATGTTAACCGTAGCAATGCTCGACATCAATTAAATGTAAAACAAGCACACTCAATGAATTGTATTTTTCAATTAATGTGCCTTAGTATTTTAATTAAAATCTTTATAAAATTATATATTAAATCCTAAGAATGTATGAAAAAATTTGATTATTTAAGACAAACGACATAAAAATATTTAAGAATATTTATTAAAATATTGTAGTTACATTTCTAAATGTCAAAAATATATATATAGTTTGTAAACTTTATATGCTGATGTATAATACATAAAATAGGTATAAAAATATGGATAGTATATATTCTTGTAGAAATATATATTTAGTCGTTGATAATTATTAAATAATTCATATATTCTTATATACAAAATTACAGGAGTAAATTAGAGGAGCATCTACATAGAACCCAACCAAGGCACGAAATCGTTTCCTACGACGAAAGGCATTCCTTGGAAAGAAGGTAAGCCGATAGGAAAATGAAGCAGTTGAGCTCTTTGATGTGTTTTGATGTGCTTTTTCAGGTGATCCTTTCTTCCGAATCGTTTTCCGCAAAGAGGACACGGAAAAGGCCTAATTCCCGAATGGATGCGTTTGTGTCTGGTTAGTTCCTCGTTTCGAGTGAAAGTTTTGCCACAATCTGGATGATCGCATGCGAAAGGCCTCTCTCCTATAAAGAAAAATTAAGTTAATTTATTTAAATTAAACTATACAGTAGGCCTATTGTAAACAGTAAAACGTTAAGCATAAAGCTTAGGAGAGAGAACGTTTAAAAACTCCTATTAGTTTAACAAAAGATAACTTGTGAATTACACGTTATTATTGTCTTTATTTACTCAATTTAAGAGTGTTTATTTGATTCTGTTTCTTTATTTTTCTAAATAATAAAGTCGGGTTAAACATCCGAGAATCGGGTAACGTGATCCAAGTAAGTGTGGAGAAGACAGATGGAAAGAACAAGAAGGATAGCGAATCGGAGGGAACACATAGGACTACTTGGTTTGTATATAAAGAGAATAAGCGAAAAGTAAGCCTGGAGGGCCTGTCACTGTTCAATAACACGCGTGATCCATTAGCGGTTACCTGGAGAGCTACCATTGAAGGTGTGAGAGGTTCTACTAGTAGAAACCTCTACAATGGAGAAGTTATGGGTGGAAGGTGTGATATGCATCTCATCGGTTTCTATTAATTTAAACACTTCTCAATTTATGAAAAATATATAGGCCTATATACAGTATTAAGTAAATAAATATATAAATATTCCACACGATCATCATTCGGATCCAGATAAAGGAAATGTGAGTTTTTAACGATGTTTTCGTGTAGGCTTATAATACGGCTATTGAAAACACGAACTAGATTATACACAAACAAGTAAAATGTTAATTAAAATAAAAATAAAGATGGGAATGTAATGATGTAATCATTTATTTTTGGTAAGTGACTACTATAAATAGAAAAGTACTTAGAAACTATTAATTTATCTATTTTACTCTAAATAATTTTTTATCGCTTTTATGATAAGACGGGAGTAAATAAGTCGAGTTCAATGAATTTTCTTTTTCTGTTATTCATTCAGCCAATAGTTAAAGAAACATCGGGAGAACGATTTTTAGCCAAAGACTATTGTGTTTTTAATTATTTATTTAACTTATCACATATGTAAGAAAATAAATATCATTTTCTATTAACTGTTTTAAAATAAATCAACGTTATTTCGAATGATTATTACACGCAAATTGAAAGTTTTTGCTGATGATTAAAAACATTTTTCTATTAGGCTTAAATAACAAACGGCAATTCGATTTTATTTCTAAGCTTAGACATAAGTTTACATAGATTTATCGGCTTGTATACATCTCAGACTTTTATATAAATGTTCTATATTTTAACCTGCATCAAAATGAAGGATATTTATGTATAAACCTAAATTAAACAGATACCTCTCTATAGTTAATCTACTGTAGAATAAAATTGAAATATTCTATCGATAAATAGAATAAAGCATCTGTTTTTTGAATAGATAGATCAGGCCTATGTGTATTATATTGGTTTGAAAATATGACTATGTAATTTGCTTGATCTGTGATTTTTCAAGGAATTTTACTCTATTGATCCTACTTACTCTATTCCTTTTGGAAATATCATTATTCATTTATAAGATATTTCATTTATTAGAGTAAAATCCCTCGTAAGTATCGATAATCGTTCTAAAAATAATAGACTTAATAGAGTAAAAGTCCTTAAAAAATCACGTTATATCTGTATAAAACTATGTAGGCATGTGTCAAAATTACTGATCTTTCGCCTAATTTTTAAATACAGTCTTCATAAACTACAGCTTATAACTTTTATATCACTTCGGTAATTAAAAATATAATTCTTTCTCTTAATTAGATAAATATAAATTATTTTTATTTCATCGACGGATTCCTATTTGAACTTTCTCGAATAGAAACATATTAAATTTAATATAAAATGTTCGAATTTAGGTTTTAAAATTTTATATAATGCATAAATTTTTCTACTTATCATAATGTTTTGTATATTTCGTATTTTTTACCCAATGATTTTCAATAGAAAACAGTCTGTATACAATTAAATTATGGATACTTAAAGGCTTATACGAATGTTTAAATGTAAACAATCATATAAGATTATTATAAAAGTAGGCCTATAGATGTGTATCACTAATAAACAATGTAACAAGAAGAAAAAGAACAGGAAATATTATATAGAAAGTAAAAACAACGACTGGATCATTCCTAATTTAGCTGTAAAATTTATGACAAAAATTCTATGCAAATCCTATAAAATTATTAAAATAACAAACAAATTTCTAAAATAAGTTTGTAGGTCTATATTAAGTCATTTATTCAAAGCTAAGATATAAAAATATATCCTTCTTAGGGAATTTTTAGACTATTTCTCGATAGAAATTTTGAAGTAAAATGTCTGAAAAGTCTTATTACTAATTTGCTTAATAATAAACAGATTTGTAACTTAGAAAATTTATAAAGTTTACTTAGGAATTGCTCTCTTGTTATGAAATTAAAACCAGTTGTTTGGCTATAGCTGTAATAAATATCCAGTTGTTGGCCTAGAAGCTATAATAAATGTCAAATTACGGATTCCATTTATCCGAAAGTCTTACCTTTCTCTTCAAATAAAGCATTTTTATGAATTCCTAATGCACTATTTAATAAGAGTATTATATATTAGAATAAAATAAAGTTTTAGAAGATAAATTAATGAAGATTTATTTAATTTTTACTTTAAGAGAAAACGTAGAAAGAAAGCTTTAACATATTAATGTATTTTTTTACAAAGATTAAAGTATAAATTATAAGAGGTTCAGAGATTTTTTTTCTATGTAAAATTAGGAAACAACAAACTTTATGATTATTAGCGCTCACCGGTATGTATACGGACATGTCCTTTCAGTTGGCCATTATTACTGAAAGATACGTGGCAATGAGGACATTGAAATCTTTTCGGTCTTTGCTTCTTCGCTCTCCATCTTCCTGTTCCCAACAAATCTGTGCCACTGGTTTCGGGACACCAAATAGAATGATGAGAAGTCACAGGAGCAATTATATCTGGATTTATAGCAAAGACATTCATCTGCTGATGTTCGGGTTCTTTCCAATTGACTTGATACGTTTCCTCCATGTTTGACCATTGGATATTATCTATAGATTGACTTATTATTTGGTTATTTTCTGAATAATTTATCGGTTTAAACGATAAATTAAGATTATTTTTTTCCGTAGTTGATTTCTCTTTTTCGCACAGAGTTTCACTTTCTTCGTAATTGATCCAAGGTCGGAAGAGCGACCTTTTGCGAATTTCTTTGAATGCCATGGTTCGAATGCCGCATAAAGCCACGATATAAGGCTATATGTTGTAGTTTTGAATGTAGGAAAGCTTATTGGTGGACATTTACACGTGATGGATGGCACAAGTCCTACATATTGGGGGATATACAATAGATCCCATCAGACGCTTGCTGCATCAGTGGATGAACCCAGGGAGTAGAGGCGGAGCTATCTTAGTGACATGGTCCTCCCGAATATAGGGGGCTTTGTGTAGCCACCGCCCCACTATGACTGGGCACGAACGAAAGATGGGAGGGGTGAGAGCAGGACCAATATGGCGGCCCATTTCCAACAAATTGATGATTGGAAAATTTGAATTACAAACAACGATACGTCGATTGTTTCAGTTCCATGTGAGTGATTATTCAATATTTTATTATGTGTATATTATAATTTACAGTAATATTTTATAATGAAAATTATAAAAAATTGTTAATACATTTAGTAAGAGTGATAGATATAGGCTATATATTAGTAAAATGTGCTTTTTAATTTATTTTTTTTGGATTTATAAATTTACATTTTGCAATAAATAATAATAAAATTCTGAAAGCAATTAATATAATTTTTTAAAAATGTCACGTTTCTACTCAGTAAATTTACGCAAATTCTAAAAGATATAGAAATAGATGTTTTAAAAGATAAGAATGCATGAAGTGATACTGAGAGTTCAATTGGAAACAAAAATTTCAAGTAAAAATGTTCACAGTAAATTAAAGTGGTCAATATAAGGAGTGTTAAAAGGCTACTGGTTGTAAATCACATAGTCAAAAGGGACAAGAATATTAGTCGAGTGACCAGAGATGCACACAAAGCCCTTGACCGTATAATCACAAGAGATTGTGTGGCTCGCGCCCATGAAGTCACCAGGACCCTTTTGTTCCTATGTGACTATTCAAGGTATCGGTATGTCAAGTATCCTGCCGTTTTTAAACACGTGAACAGCCTCCGGCTCATTGGTTAGTGAACACGAAGGTTGCTACTTAAATGAAGTGATATCTTAAGAAAATAAACTAGTTGACATCATTTTTCTACTTTAAACAAGTTTATTTTATTCAAGAATAGCCACTTCTCATTGTAGTTTATTTATGTTACAAACAAAATTTTAAATTATTAATCATTAAATTTAAATATTTTCATTAATTTTGAATGAAAAATAATTGAATTTTTTAAATTAAAATATAAAGAAATTGGCTTGGTTTAGTGTTTTAAATGATTGAAAATATATTGCAGTTTCTCATTACGGTAAAGAACTTAAGCTTTTTATCAATATATCTGCCTCCCCCCCAAAAAAAAAGTTAAAGGTGAGTTGGCTTATGCGATTAAGATAAATCAGTTTGGCTTTAGAGAGATTTATTCTAAAACATCTTATTTGGATACTATGAAGGCGACAAAATTGAACAAAGTGATTGGACATCTCGGGAAATGTCATTCAGGAAATTTTAAAAGGTGTTCCATGGAAAAGAATTGCTTTGTTCTGCATTAAGTCAGAACGTTTGGTCAGGCGAAAGGGAAATAAAAGGCAAGTTGGTTGTCAACCAGTCAAGTCTGACAGAAAAACTGTCCTTTCATTGGATTTGTCATCAGCCTCCTGACCTGTGACCTCGTACCCATTTTAGTTTACCTCTGTGGAGATTGTCGGAGACAGAAAGACTTCTGTCAAACTGTCGCATGTTTAATCCTAAAAGTCAAGGGGATCTCGGCTGACAAGCTCACTCCCAAGCCTTAGAAACGAAGGACACTTATGCTGATGCGATTAGTAGATGCATTAAAATATAATAAAAGCTCTTTTCCCTATGGGAACAAAATTCTCAATGTAATAGTCATTAGACCGCACTTCACTTTAAAATATTCTTCAACGTTTCATTCAATCTACAATAATAAAAGTTTTTTTCTAAAGTCATATTTTTTTCCTATACGATAATTAATATATTAAAGCTTAGCTTATTTGAGTGTCTACGAGAGAAACAAACATACCAAGTATATTGATACAAATTAAAGGTTATACTTTTAGATTAAAATTTTGAGTAATATAAATAATATATTTTCACGTTTTGAATCGTTGTTATCTCTACAGTTTTGTATAAAATATGAAAACATTTTAAAAGAATTATACAGTATATCTAATTAATATATGAAAAACTTTACAGCTAATCTAATCTTAAAAATCAATCTTACTGCATATCAACTTTGAAATTTTACATAAAACAATAATAACTGAACAAAATACTTGCATTTATTTCTATTGTCAAACATTAAACAAATTGTTTACTATCTTATTTAATTACCGGTTAGAGAAAAACACAATTTATTCTCGTGCAATTTAATCAGAAAAAGTAATTAATTAATTAATTAAAAAGTCAAAATACTTAATAAAAATGATTTATTTTAAATATATTCATTTAAAAAAAANATTTTCTGCATACTTAAATATAAATGTGGGTGAATATTTACAGTAAATTTTGTAGGATTTTATTATCATTTATCTTGAAAAATATATACGCGATAAAGAACAAAATTAAACAATCGCATCGGCTGGAAATCGAACCAGAGCTTCACGTAGCAGACAAGTAAAATGAGTGCGGTGAACAATGAAAATTATTTGTGCTTCATACTTATAATTTACACGTACTGTACCTTCTATTTTGTCTGTATTTGTCTGTAAAAACAGTCATCAAAACAAAAGAGGTTATATATATATATTTCCTGTGAAATTCCAGTAGAAAAACGTGACGTGTATGTCTCGATTATTTTATAAATACAAGAAACACAAATGCTTTATAATTTTCAAGCATTATTTAAATAAAACCAATTTTATATTTAATAATTCAACAAGTATGTATAATACAAATGTATATATTTTGCGAATATCAAAAATGTATAACTCTATAAAACTGTGACCACTCAGTGGTTAAATATAATTTATACGAATTGTATAGCATTCGTGTTCACGAGACCAAACTAATTCACCACTTCACTTTTCCTGGAATGTATTTGTCGATCAGAGACTGGTAATAGGGAATCAAAGACTCGATGTCCGGAACTTCGTGCGATTTCGAATACAAGTCGAATTTGCTGTAAACAAAATAAAAAAAATCATTTAGTACGTTGCACCAAATCAACAACTTGGAATTTACAAAGACATTTTCTATAATAAGTCTTACTTAAATTCCCTGATCCATTTCAACATGCACATGTCTTTGTTGTTGCATAAATATTCGTAGTCTTTTCCCGTGTGCCACGGATAGAACGAGTGGAACCTGATGACGTACAGAGCTTCTTCGGGTAGAGAAGTACCGTGATTCTTTAATACTCGGTACATGTATTCGTCGTGGCCCCAAGACATTAAANGGACATGTCTTTGTTGTTGCATAAATATTCGTAGTCTTTTCCCGTGTGCCACGGATAGAACGAGTGGAACCTGATGACGTACAGAGCTTCTTCGGGTAGAGAAGTACCGTGATTCTTTAATACTCGGTACATGTATTCGTCGTGGCCCCAAGACATTAAAACGTTCTCCAAGCCGCAGTGCTCTTCGTATATGCCAAATTTAGTGTTGTATCTGGCATCTTTTGTGTCGGGATTGTCTTCGAAGGTGCTGGATCTGTACACGATGGAGTTTGCGGGAGCGCATCCCACCGGAAACGTATCTCCCACCACCGCCCATTGAGGTTCTCCGTACAGAGCCATCAGTTTGCCCAGATCGTGGATCAAGCCCGTCAGATGGAACCATTCCAATTGAGGGTGAGCTTGACGGATTCTTTCGGCAGTTTGGAATGCGTGCACGATATTAGGGATGTCGACGTCGGGATCGCTCTCGTCTACTAAAGCGTTGAGCTTTTCGAGAGCTTGCATTATGTTCATCTGGCACTTATCGAATTTCGTCCAGTAGCGAGTCTGCGTAAATTTTAATGTAAAGTTATTTTCGCTTCGTCGAATTTACCGGAAGAAAGAATTAAAGCTGTACTTACTCTTTCGCCGACGAATTGTACAGTTTGGTTATTGTGCATTTTCCTATAAGTTTCTCGTACTCTTCTCTGGATATGATCGTCCTGAAAACCAACAGCGATTACAAGTTAAATAAAGCGTCTAAATAAATAAGAAATTGCACAGCGTCTAAATGACTTTAGTTACCTTGTCCGTAGTGTACTGTCTGAATTCTTCCATTTTTTTGTGTTCTGGACGATAATGTTCGGAAGGATCTAGCATTAAAACGGAGTTGCACAGCAACGTGTTGTTAATATGAGGCATGTCGACGACTGCTACGCTTATTGTAGTTGATTTGATAGAAGAATATAAGCTTATAATAGCTTATATCTTAGTTATATTTAAAGTGATGCTCTGCCAGTCTGTTCGAAAACTTTTATAGAAAAATTTGAAAGTTGGGTGGAAACTAATTTCGAGATTATTGGAGTTGTATTGGCGAAAGGCGACACACCCACCATTTGATTGGTTATTGATAAAGAAAATTGCTATCGACGTTACATAAATATCAGCTGATAGTGACGTCGAATTGACGAAGTTGTAACCAGTTTGATCCGGTTCATATGCTTAATTAAATATAATGCGTCAATTAAATACATCAACTTAATTAACTTTGGTTTTACGTATTAGATACCACTTTTTACAGCATTAAAAAAATGTTTTTTTTATTTGTTCTTACAGTGAAGTCTAACACAACATTATTTCGAAAAATGCAGAAATGGTCGAAGAACAATAATTAATTCAACACCGTTTTTTATGTTGTACTGTATTTACATTTGCACTTGATATTTATCTGATAAATTGGAAATGACGCGATAGAGTAATCGACCTTGATTATGATATATTTAATGTAAAAATTATCTCTTAGTTTATCTGATTTTGTCTGAAAGTGTCATAGCTGTTTTATTATTTTTTTTTATTACTGCTTATAAAAAGAACTGAAATAATGCAAAAAACCATTTAAAAGATACTTATCATCTTTAAACGGCTTTAATCTTTGATTAATGCATACATCATGCGATGCTCTATGTGTTTATTAAAAATTATATAAGGTACATGTCATTTTGATCAAAGAAATACAAGTACAATAGAATTTCACCACACTTATTTGAACATGTAAAAATATAAATCTGTAAATTATTGATAATCCTATTTTCATTATTTGAATTCTAATTGGCCTATTCTCTATTAACAAATAGTCTATAATGGAATTTTTGGACTTTTATACAATAAGTAAGTATACAATACAATAAGTATACCCAAGTCACTAAACTAATTTAAATTTCATAATTACATTGTATATTCTCAAGTGTATACAGTGATATAAAATATAGTTATAACTTGTTAGAGGATGTTTGAAGGTATATTTGTTTGTTAATTAATTATAAAGCTGTTTCTATAGACTGCATTTAAGTTAAATTTATAATTTTATATGTAATTATATACAGTTGAAAATAAATTTGTTTTAAATATGTATATAATTTTCTATTTGCATATGATTGAAAAGAAATGGAGAATACTGAAATTTGTATTAATAGTATTTTGTATAATGTACTCATATATAAACCAAAAAGTAATGTAAGAGATAAAATTTTAGGCTTATAAATATTTGTTGGACTTTATATAATCATAAATTCAAAATTTTTAAATATTAAAAGTATAAAAAATAAAAACAGTATTTCAGTTTTGTCTTTTCAACAATTTTATATAGTATATTACTCTAATTATTTTATTATTTATTAATTAATCGAGAGATTTAATTAGAATTTCTTCAAAGTGATGAGACATTAAGTCTTTGATGTCTCATAACTTTGAATTATGGTGATTTCTGTAAACCACTAATTAGCACTTTAAATTAATTAATAATTAACAAAGTATTCAATTATTTAATTTAATAATATCGAACACTTTATTTAAAGCAAGTGTTTTTCCTGTTTTATTTTTAACAAGGAAAGTTATAGCCTAGTCATAGCATCACACGTTTAAAATATTTAGTTTATTTTTAATTAAAATATCTATCTGGCAGGGTTCTTAGTTTCTTTTATTTATCCTAATGGTAGAAAGTTAACTATTTCTACTTTAGTTGTTATCTACTTATCACAATCGCTGTAATATTAGATAGGCAATGTAAAAGTTCAAAACTTAGAAATCTCTTTTAAAGATCTCCTTGAAGATCGTTCTATTTACAAACTTCAGATGGCAGTCTTAGATTTAAGATAGCTGAAGTTTCGCGATCTAATGTGAATTCGAACGATTACATATTATATAAGCAAATATTTATTGCCGAACTGAAATTTTTAATCGTATTTTTAATTAATTTAATTTAAAATATATGCTCGCCACCTCAAATTAGTAGTGTCTTGCCCCTGTACATCATACTTTTCCTGTTAGCAATCGAGTCGTGCAGATCATCTATCTAACTTCTTTCAGGGTAAAATTGTTTTAATTGAAATAATGTAACTTCTGGTTTAGAGTGAAAGTTCCTATATGATTAATCGGAACCTCCTGCTTTTAGGCTTTTTACATATGCCTTGATTTTTATCTGCTTAAATCCATTGTCATGATCCAGGAAGGACAGACAGGATATTTTAGAGATAGGAAGAGTATATGTATAAGTCTATCTTTACATACAAGCATTCAACTTCCTCCTGGAGCATAGTTTGATTTTCTTACATAAACGTGAGTGTATAATAATAAATAGCAAAAACGAATTGACATAAATTAAAAGCTTATCAAGTGTAGGCCTATAAGCTGTTTAACCACTTAATTGTTCTAATAAAAATTTAAATTCGAACTTGATCCCCGTAGAAATGTACAGTACAGTATAGCCTATACAATATAGTACATTCTACCAATGACACACGGTTCGCGTAATTAATATGTACAGGTACAAACATACGACATTTATACTTTATATATTTATATTTATATCGTATTATTAAATAACTGAAACAAATTAAATGAAGATATTACTGAATCTTGCAATGGTCTTCGTTCATTTTCTAGTTAACTTTATATATCGTAAGTCATATATATTGATCGAGACTGCTTGATTGATATACGCAAAATATAAGTAATTACAAAATTCATATGCTAAGTATAATATATATAGGCCTATATACAGTATTATACTTAATAAAAACACATGTTATGACTATAGAATCTGATGCAAAATATGTCTATAATTGAATAATGTATATGATATGAATACATTAACAATTGAAACGTTAAACTCATTGCTTTATTTACAAAGATATATTAAATTTATAAAAATTAATAGTTTAAATTTTCCATAAAAAGCGTGAAAAATGCAATTTATTAATGATTATTTATCAGTAATTCTTTCAAAGTCTTCGGATATTTATAGCAAGTAATGAGGTTAAACGAATAGGATAGAAACAGTATCGCTCTATTAAAAAATGACGTCGATAATGATTGGAACGAGTAAAGATGCGAGTTGTTCTTACTAGGAAACAAATACAAGAAACCAGTTAAAACCGGTAAGAGGTCAAACAGCGATAGAAGTTCATTTATCGTGGAGTCAAGGTTGTGACATGTACAGTACGTTTTTAGTTTCAGCGGTATCTAGAAAAACTGATGCAAGAACAAAATGTTTATCAAAGTAGAAAAATTTATCGAGGTAGTAAGGTTCAAGAGATCTCTTTAATATGTCGTGGATTAAGAGATCTCTTCAGTTAATCCTAACATTTATTCGGTTTTACGTCAGAAGTCAAGAGTTCAGAGTTCGAGGACGCCGTCTAGTCGTTATGTGTAATGTTAAAGTACTTATTGATGCTATAAAAAATGTTTTAAACTTACTAATAAAGGATAATTTCGTAGAGTGACCTATTTCCAAGTCGCACATTATTTTAATGCATTTTTAATGCATTTTCTTCCTACATAAAACTATAGAGAAATCTGTACGAAGGAAGAAATCCGTTAACTAAACTTGTTATAAGCTGATGAAATTAGTTTATTGACAGTTTATGTTAATAAAACATCACTTCTAATTAAGAAAAAAAAAAGACTTAAATTTAATACGTTTCAGATCAGAATTGAAAGAGAAAGATCAGATATTTTAGAAGAAAAGATAAATTTCGTCACGTAAAAGCATTACAAAATTGATTTTATATGATTCACTAGTAAAGTAAATAAGTATAAAATGACCCGAATTTTATCAAAAATATGATGATAAAAATGTTGATAATTCCAATATACAGATAAATGTTAAACTTCAGCAGAAATTTTATTATATTTTGAATAACAGGAATGAGTGAATGGTAGATGTTTATAAAGCAAATTCATCTTTACAGAGTGAAATACAAAAACTAAATTTTACTTGTTCAAATAAAGAATAAAATTTTACATAAATTTTTATTTATTTAGAAATTGTATTAAAAAGTATTAAATATTTATAAATAACCCACAGAGATTTAGACTTGTTGTGACCCTGAGTTGTAACATGTAAGAGGTTCTTCCTTTCCAATTCTAGCAGATAAAGAAACCTCTGAGCAAAAGTCACTGACTAGAATATAAAAATGGCTATTGTTTGGAAGTTTATAACTATAATAATTTATTATTGCTTTTGTTTATAACAATTGAACTTCTCTGTTTTGTATCGAATACATTATATTGTGATGTCACTTCCTGAATTCATCGTTGTTTAATAAGACATTATAATTATCATATTTAAAAAATATTTAATTGTTTTCAGTGTAGAAATTAAAAAAAATTTCTTTGGATTTAGTTTTTGTGCAATTATTTCTTAAAAATTTAAAGGATATCCTTTTTATAAAAATATAATCTAGTTCCTTTCTGAGAAAAATTCTAAGTATAGTACTTATCACCTGAAGGAAATAGTCTTTTGGTAGGATATAAAAATATGTATGAATATCTAAATTTTTTCAATTGTTTAAACAATATCTGCTAACTGTCAACTATGAAGACCGTCTTCGTCATAACGTTTTTAGGATTTTTCATCTTTAACGTTTGCCAATCCACTCCCGCTGTTTGTTGTAAGATTAAAATTTGTTCAGTTAAAAGTACACTATTTAATTATTTATAAAATAAGAAGGTGAATAATGCTTTAATATTTTAGCCTATGACAAGGTACAGAAGGCACTTTTCATCTATTGTTATGAGAATGTAATAGATAGAAAGACCTGGAAAGCTGTAAGTATTATGAAAAATCTCTCGAAAGAAATTATATTTATACTTTATCTTTTTGTTTTATTATTTTATTTAGGCTGAAAAAGTACAAAAATGTTTCCATGTATCTTCTCTATCAGAATTGCTAAATGAATTTTGCACTCTGACGCAGGATGATCCGGATGTAAGTTTCTAAACTTTAAGTCCCTAGATTTTTATAGATAACAATATAGAATATTTTAGTTAAAACATTAATATTTTAATTTAATAAAATACGAATTTATGCCATATATTTTATGCAATTTAATTCTTACAACTTTATAATAATTATCGATTTATACTTCAGTTTGTACAACGTTTTGCCTGTATTAATGNTAGATAACAATATAGAATATTTTAGTTAAAACATTAATATTTTAATTTAATAAAATACGAATTTATGCCATATATTTTATGCAATTTAATTCTTATAATTTTATAATAATTATCGATTTATACTTCAGTTTGTACAACGTTTTGCCTGTATTAATGAATATAAGAAAACCGTGAATGAGGTATATTTTGTTTTATTTTAAAAAATTCCTCAATATTTATAATAATAGACAACACTTTAATATATTAAGAGACATAAACGATTGCTACTTTTTTTATAGGACTTGATAGAGATGAAGATATACGAATGCATGGAGGAAAACGATATAAATTCTGTTTAAACTACACGAAAAATAAATGCGTTTAAAGTTAAAATATTTTTTACTTGTATAAATTAATTTTATATGGATAAACCGAAATATGTTTGGATTTAATATTCAGATTTATAAAAGAAAAGTAAACTTGTTTATGAAACAGACCTGTCAAGCTTGCTTATAAATCAAAATATCTTTAACATGTTTTCACTTTCTAGCAGTAATCCTATAACATAACGTCAGTCTATTTACAGTACAGTATATTGGCTTCAATTTTTTCAATTGTTTTCTACCAATTAATGAAGTACATAGAATTAATTTATAGAACCTATATTAAATTTAGGTCTATTCTGTCTGGATGCTGTCTTGAATTTATATAGGCCTACACATCATGACTTAAAACACCATACAGATAAACATTATATAATATTTTTATTAACTGATGTTTTAGTAAAGCATATATGTAAATATTTGATTTTGTTTTTCAAAAAAAAAAAATGGAAGAAAGGGCCTTATAAGAGACAGAAGGGCCCTCTTTATTCGGAGCTCGTTTGGAGTTCCGAATAAAGAGAGTCCTTTCTGCTAATATAAAATCCAGTATAAAATAATTTATAAAATTTTCCATAAAATCTAAACAATTAAATTTAGTTTAAGAGTATAATAATCATAATCGAATGGTTAGTTCTCGGTACAATTTAAAAAAAAAATTAATTTGTGATGTTTTGCAATTTTAAAAATTTTTATAGCTTGATAAATAAGAATATTAAAATATACGTAGTAATTTCATGTCTGAAAGTAAAGGAAAATTATAAACAGTAATCCAATCGATAACGCGGATAACTCGTATACGTCACAACCAGTCTGTAGCAAGTGACTGCATCGGTACAGTACATATAGACACAGGGAAAGCAAAGGTTGCAAGCATCGGTGGTTCAGTGGTAGAATGCTCGCCTGCCACGCGGGCGGCCCGGGTTCGATTCCCGGCCGATGCAATATAATTTTTTAATCTTATTTTTTGTCTTTATTACAATTCTTGTGTTATATAATTGTGTTATTGTGTGACGGAGCACGAAACGAATCGATACATTCCAAATTTTAGTTCCGTTCTCTTCCGAAATTTACCATTCACTATGCTAATATTTAATAAAAATAAAAGATTTTACGATAATTAAATTAAATTGGAATGGTAGGAATTCGTTAGATCTATGCAATGTAAAATAATATAATAATTCAAGAACTATTCTATAAGCTACGTAACATATTTTACGTATTCCTATAGGTTACGTAGTCATTACGTATTTTATTAATTCTTAAAACGTTTCATTTCAATTTATATTAATGTAATTATAATTCAAACAACATCACTACTTTTCTATTGAACAACTATTTAGCAAGAATACAAATTAATAAATAATTAAATATTAAACATTACTTATACAAAGATCACATTATTATCTCTTTCTATACATTATTAACTCCTCCTGTTAAATATAACTTCCTTATATTAACAGAAGATGATTAATATACTTAATAAACTCACAGCACGTTGATAATTTACAAATGAGAACGTTATTACAATTCGAAAGATATTTAATTTACAAAAGAAAACGTGTTAATATTATAATATACACCGTTTTTCTAGTATAATTGAATCAATTAACGAAAATAAATTCATAAAAATCTGATGTTGAAATTAAAGATTTATGTTATAAGAAAATATATTATCATAAGACAATATTTACGTGAATTGAAGGCCGAATACTTATAATTTGGTCACTATATACTGTGTAGGAAAATCAGGTTAATGCGTAATAAATAATGTAATACATTTTTATTATATGAATAAAATATTAAGGAAACGTGTTTACGGAAACGAAATACAACAATAAACAAATAATACATGAAAGAAGATACTTTAATCATTTAATGTGAATGACGTTATTACAAAGTCCATTAGATATTTCTTAGAAGAGATCATTACAACAGTTTGTAACTACGTCACGAACAAGGACACTCGCAGTTACATTTGGATTCTATTATCCTTAGAAAAGAGCACGAAAACATTTAATTTTCTTTCCATTTAAAAAATTTCTTTTTAGTTTTTTTTTTTTAATTTTTTCATCTGGAAGACACTTTCATATGAAAAAAGAGCTTACACAAAAACAAAATACTGTATATAAATTTAATTTCACATTTTAACTTATTGATTCTTAAATAAATCAATAAGTAAAATTTAATTCGTCAGCACCTAATTTTATTTGTATTTTATTTTATTTTTACTGGATATTAAATTACGTTTAGTCTGTTTATTTTTAAGTTATTATTGTTTATTCTTATATATAGGCCTATATTAATTTATAAAATTATAGTACAGTATTAATGTTTTAAATATGCATTTTTGTTTAATTTTTATTTCATTTTCAAATCAATTTAAATACATATTTAATTGTTCCTTACTTTTTAAATTGTAAATATATCAATTAAATAATAATTTAAGTAAACAAAAAAAAAATTAAGAAAACAGTCGAAATGTTTACTAAATTTAAATTATTTTCGTAATAATTAAGAATTTAATATTAATTTCGACCATTTCGGGTATACATTAGCCTGCGGGTGTTTTTAATAAAAAATTAATTAATTTACTAATCCATATTTAAATGTTTATTGCATATGAATTTAATTTTAATTAAATTCGTTACTTAAAAATTCTGTAGCAATTGATAAATTAGGTTATGCAGTTAATCCAAAACAGAAAACACGAAACAATTAAAAGGAAAAAAAACACTTTTACTTAAATTATAAATCAAATATAAAAATTAATTTATTTACAGAATGTTTATATATTTACACATTAATATCATAAAATGTTTGCATATTAAATCAAATAAGAAACTAATACATTCGAAGCTACAATAGAGAGGTTGCGGCCGAAGTTTTCATCTGTAAAACGTGAACGTCGAACGTCGAGCGCCGCTTCTTGTAAGCGGCGCTCGACGTTCCACGTTCACGTTTTACAGATGAAAACTTCGGCCGCAACCTCGCTAATAACGGCCACCTGTAAACGACGGCCATGTTTCTTTTTGAAATGCATACAAAAATAACCTCCAAACAACGGCCATTTTTTTCTGTTCCCGTCAGTGGCCGTTATTTAGAGGTTTGATTATAACTTAACTAAAAGCTGAATTAAAGAAAATAAAAATGTTAATTTTAATACAATAGGTAGTAGAAGTTCATTAATGAATTGGTTTTATTTACATTTTTTTAATAATAAGTTATTGAAAAACACTTAAATAATTATACTTATTTATTACTTACATTTATACTTATCTGCTGCTTCGTTTCGGAACTTATATTAAGAATGTTTGTATAAAACCTCTTGTTTTGGAAATATTAGAAACTTAAAACTTCTCAGTTAAGTATTTTCTGAGTTCGATGTTATTATGCAGATGATGAAAATGTCCTTGAAAGCGAGGAATTGCCAGCGTAATTTATATATTTTTTGCATAACAAGATGCAAATTAGTAAACAAGATCATAAGTATTTGCTTTCTTGTTTACTAAATTGTCTTATTATGCATTTATGAAGTACGTTTCTGCGCCAAGTTACTTAATCTTAGAAGTTTCTCATTACTAATATCATATATTTACATAAAGGAATTGACTATTTAACTATTTATATTAATTTATAAACAGTATTAATTAATATGTAATGTAGAATAATCTTTAAATTTATAATTTCTGTAATGTAAATTTAACTTAAATATTTAAAGGACGTATAAATTTATTGACTTTTGTATACTTTGTGAATAAGTATTGTAAATTGTCATACACAAATTAGACTTTATAAAGAAAGTAGTAACAATTATTGTAAGGAAAAGCATCTATTTATCACTTTTATATTTTCAAATTTTAAGTAGTTTTGTTTTCTTTCAATACATGGCTTCAACAACACGTCTCTCTCAATAGTTTTACAGTATTCTGAACATGGACAAATAACAACCATCCCTTGATATACATGTAATAGGCTTGAAATGGTTCGCTAGGCTCTCTTTGCCACATAAGAATTTAGTTACGGAAAGGACCACTAACAAGGTGTGACTACGTCGTGCTCGTTTATATCATCAAGCCAACAATGCGCGCATCTCGTGTTGACAGCCGTGACCGGTACTCTCAGTGTAGAAAAGGTGCCGACTCCAAGTGAGGACGTACAGCTTGCTTTGTTTGTCTGACGTGGTCATGCTTTGATGAACATGCCAAACAGTTTCCCTACTACCCTACTGAATGTCATAAACTGCTATAGAAATATTCGAACCGTACTGTGAACCATCGCAATACCGTTCGTTTATGATCGCGCAATATAAAAAGAATTCATTAAAATAAGTTGTATTTTTTTATAATTCTTTACAGAAAATTTATTATATATTATATCGCCGTTTAATTTATAATTTAAAATCTTATTAATATATCTTGCAAATAATAGATTAAATTTAAGGAAGAAGAAGCCTTGAAATTCATGAATGCATTGCACAAATATGTCAAATTTTATTTAATAATTGCTAATTTAAGATTCAAATTCTGATACACATGATTAATATATACGTAATTGATTTTTTTTAACTTTTTGATACAAAATATTTTATTTATTAGGCTACAGTTTTACCTGTTTTCTGTCCACAAAGCTATGAAAGAGAGTTTGGAACTGGTATCAACAAATTATTGAAGAGTTCTTGCAAAGCGTGAAGAACATATTTATCTGGTTTCATTTACAAGAGACCTGGACTGGTGTGCTAAACACCTGGCAAAAGTCAAAGGAAAATACTGCATCAACTTTTCTCTTTGGGTTTATTGAAAAGAAGTGATGCTTTCTCCATTTTTACGCTTCTTTGCATTTCGACAAATGAGACTGCACATTGATACACACGTAATAGGCCCAAGGCAGAGGGATTTAGTTATGGTTTTGGCCACTAAACAGGCGTGTCGATCTTGTTGGTCATTTGTATCACGAACAGACAAGCGTGACTGTCAATGGAATGGAGACATCTGCTATTTAGTAGAACGAAAATGAATATGTTCTATGAGGAAACCCAAGAAAGAGTCTGTTGTGTGTATTAAACGATATTGATGATACTATTCTTCTATTCAGGTTTTTATTTAATTTTTTTCTAGCAACTTCCACAGTGATTTATTTTTTTTTATATTTAATTGAATATATTTAATAAATATGTTATGATTTAAAGACTTATAATCATAAAATACTTATTAAAACGTATCAAATTAACTCATAAACAAGATAAAATACTCATAGCTCCAGTCTAGTTTAATCAGCTTCATAAGCATGAGCTAAGTTTGCCGCTAAACATTGTGTTATTTCAAGAATATTTGGCTCCTAAAAATAAAAATTATTACATATGATAGTCTTATGACGATTAATAATTTAATTATATTATAATAAATTTATATTTACCGGATTTTTTATGATGTTTATAGGATTATGTGTCGGTTTACATATAAGTATCTTCTTAAACTGGAATTTTCAAAATACAAATACTTAGCATCCATTTTAATAAAATATATGAAGAATTATAAATCTTATAAAATTAAAAATGAAAGAATATAATTAAAATACATCTAAAAATATTACCATATCCGAAGATACGTTTTCTTTGCATTCCATTTCTAAAAGCTCATCAAATGATTCCATACCTAAACAGTTGAGATATAAACCAATCTGGAAATATTTAAAAACATATAGTAAAATATATTATAATAATCTATTATATAAATAAGTATGATAATAAAATTCTTTATCCAGAGAATGCAAAATAAAGATTATAACATAAATATATTAATATAGTTTAAAATAAAGTTAATNTTGTATTACAGAAAAATATACAAATTTATTAAGATTAATCTCCTTTTTTAAGTTTCTCATTCTCATTACTAACGTTCTGTTATCGCGTGTTCTGTCATTTGGGGATGAGCTATAAAAATAAATGATTCATTTCAGCAAACCGAAACTCTATAAAGCCATTTCATATACTTTTATTGTCACTAAAAAACATAATATAAAGGGATATTATTTTTTTATTACAAAAATCATATCGGGATTTTGGTTGAAACGCTTAAACTGATGTTTCTTAAGCACAGTTTTTGAGATAAAGTCCTTTTTTTTTTTCTATTTACAACAGTGCGATCGATTTTGTGATGAAAACTGATTTTTCATGGTAATTCCTATTGATTTTCATGAATCGAATATCGGAATAGGATTATTTTCTTTGTTTCTGTTCTTGCTTTATCGGTTCATATTGTGTCACGTCCACGAAAATGTCTTGTATTTAAATTAAGGTAATTATCAACGCAGCATCATGACATCATAGCGATGAAAATAACAATTTTGAATTATAGAGATTAAAAAAATAATTAAATTATAATTTAAAATAAGCAAATTATTTTAAAAATTTGTTATCAAAACGTAAAAGAACTTGTATCTTTACAAAGCACTAACGAAAATATTTTTCTCGCATTATATAAACATGGAACCGCACGCGGCTCTTCTAAACCCTTATTGCGGCTCCCATATACTTACAGGGCCACCCAGAAGATAACGGAGCCTGAAGCAAAATACATATTGTGACACTATAGCAAATTAAATTGTGATATCAAAGTAATGGAACTAAACGAAAAAGCACTGTTTACAGGACCTACTTCCTCAAAGTCTTTTTCATCAGATGATGCGGCTCTCGTGTTTTTCTAATAAGTGATATGTGACTCCTACCGTGATAAGGTTTGTCATCCCCTGTTATATAAGTTAAGGACTATGTACTGTACCGGTAACTGTTATGTACGAAAACAATAATATTTAATTGTTTACAATTAGTAGCGTAACTAGAAGTTACGAGGTCTAAATTAGAACGTGAAAGCCTATATTTATCCGTAATAGTAACAGTAACTGTTTATAAATCATAAACAGTAATTATCAATAATGTATGCACCAGTAAACGTTCACATCTTTCTAATAAACTCGTAATAAATTCATATTTTAGTTTAATAATCTCAAATTTGCACTTTAAAAATTTATTTTGTGTGTATTTATGTATGCAAAAGAAAATCTAAAATGCAAATTTGAGAAGAAATTTATAAAGAAGAATAATTGGCCAGAAGACTCTAAGAATTATTGGGTTAATTACAGTTTTATCCTAATTTTTTCTATAATAATTTTCTTGTTTTAATAGTAAAACTAATAATCTTAATTCTAATGAAAGTAGAAAAGGATCCTGAATAACAAGGAGAATAGAAAATTAGAGGCCACTCAAATGAGCTTTTTGAGACCACTTCTGGTATTACCAAACAAACAATGATATAAGAGAAAATCAGACATATAGTGGAAGAAATACAGAAAAACCAGTATAAATGTTTACAGCATGTTAATAGAATGGAAGAAAGTAGATTACCCAAATTTTCCTTTCAGTATCAACACATAGGAAAACGAGAGAGGAAGATTGAGAGAACGAGATCATTTCAGTTTGAGGGGAAAGTTCTAAATGGACCTAATTCCATACTCTTAGATGATGATGATCATGATCATGATCATGAAGAGGTAGGATAAAGTGATATACTGTGATTATTGTGTCTTTAATAAAATTTATTTTATTTCAATTATAAACAATTTAGAACAAGTAACTGATGACCTGATATTTATAATTAGTTATATTAATTTATTATTTAATTTATGCTCAATTTTATCTTTTCAATCCGTAGAAAATAGATTATATTAAAAATAAANAGTAAAAACAAAGTTACTGAGCATTTAGTGCTTCCATAAAGGTAATCCGTTTGTCTTTGGCGATGATCCACTTACCGTTGTACATTAATCTTGGACATTGCAGACGATCCACTTTATCCAAGTAGCCTACTAGAGTAAAGCGGATCGTCTGCAATGTCCAAGATTAATGTCATTTATTTCTTGTATTATATAATTAAGAACAATTAATAGGATCAAGGTAAATACAAATAGACACGTAATACCAAGCCACAAATCAAGTTTAAGTATTGTTTTATTTAGTGCTCCATTTAGTTATTGTGATCTATTTTTCCGGCTCTGACTTACTTATTTGATTTTACTTCACTTACTTATTTACAAAGGTCCCGATTTCTCTACTATTTACGATAAAGGAATGAATTACTAGGACCAATAACATATAAACTTATATTTATTCTAAATATGAAAAGAAGTAAGTTATTCGTTCTTTAAACATAAAGATTGCTGCGCGGTATTGAAATCTTATATTCCTGAGGCTAGTAGACTATCAGAATTTTCAAAGCGGAGTTAGATTTTCCTATCTTTCAGACGTAAATTACATTACGGATCGAAATGTTGTCTGTAATCAGTAATGGTTTAAGACCTTCCGAGGCCCCTAGGCACAGAAAATTATGAGTCCTCTACATAATTGTACGACATTATAAACTAACGTGTAATTGTAGCTATAAGAATTATTTATAAATTATGATATACAGTACAATTAAAACGGTAAAATTGCTTTATTTTTTCAAATTTCGAAGCCCTAGGCATATGTGCCTTACCGGGTAATCCGGCATTATCTGGAATAAGTGAATCTTAATCTAGCAAATCATAACTTTTCCAGAATAAGAAATATGATTTTTCAATTTGAAATGGTATCTTGACGAAAAGAAATTTGATTAATATTTTTCTCAAAACTAACAATTCTAATCGATTTAAAGCAATCTAATTTTTAACTTTTTCCATAAAATTTCAGAAATTTATCTAACGATATAAACAAAAAAAGAATGTGACTGACCCATTTATAACAGATTAAAAATGATATTATTTGGTTAAGAGATAATATCAGATTATAATTAATCTGATATTACCTCGATAAAGATAAAAATATTGCAACTACTAACAATTATAGGAGACTTTTTCCTAAGGGGAAAGCATTTTTTTAAAAGAGTTATCTTGAAAGAAACCTGTCTTTTGAATTATTTTCTGCAAATTTGAATTGACTCAATTCTTTTATTAAAATGTTTTTCTTTTCTTTTTTTTTTACTTAAAATTTTATTTAAATTTTCAGAAAAATATTTCGAATTTTTAATTAAATTAATCAGAACAATTACTTTAAATAATATGAATTTTATTAATTTATGTTAAATCCAAATTTGCGTCGATTAATCTTTAAATTATTCATATCAATAGAAGTTATTATAGATTCCTGGGAAAATATATGTAAAGTAAAACTTGTTCAAAGAGGAATCTGCCTGTACGGAAAGAATATTTGGTCCGTGCATTCCGGCTTATACAAGTTTTTATTGTATTAGTTTTTACAATTTCATTGTCAATTACAGAATTCGATAAACCTGTGGCACCATCTGTCGGCACGCAGAAAAAACAAAGGTACTACACAATTTATTTGTTAAATCGTTTTGTATGTAGCTTTTAGTACTTGTTTTTTATTTTATTTTATTTTTACGCATTTTTTCCTTATTCATTTGTATTCTTAATCGTTATTGCAATTATTATTTATCAATTTTTATTGTTTTTGAATTATAATTTAATTTTTGTTTTGGAAATTTCTAAAGAATATCTTAAATCCCTTTTCTAAATTTGTTTTTATATTTCTAAAATATAATTAAGATGTAAATTCTTTAATTAAAATTAATTTGAAAGCCAACATGCCATCCATAATTGATATAATTTATTTTTAATGTTTTATGCAAATGTAAATTGTTATGTAAATTATGTAAATGCGTGTTCTTTTTAAGAAATTCATTTTTATAATTTTTTATTTACAAAGTTTTAAAGTAAATTCATAATTAACATTAAAAAATAATTAATAAATACAATGGCCAGGACAATATAAAATTATTCACAAATTAGAAAAAACAAAGTCTTTATATTTTGTCCTTTTTCAATATTTCAGTACACAACAGTCTTGACTGGTAAAAAAAGGACAGAATATAAAGCCGTTTTGTTTCTTCTAATTTGTGAATAATTTTATATTAACATTAAAACTTATTTAAAGTTTTATTTAAGCAAAGAAAGGTAAATTAAAGAAACACAAACTCTCTTACTATTATGTTAGAGTTGACTATATTTTCTACTCGGTTAATACGAGTGCATATTAGGGATTGTATACCGGTTTACCGATTTACCGGTTAACCGATAAATTGGCAAAAACACATTCGGTAAACTTACCGGTAAATTTTTGAAATTTACCGGTAATTCGGTAAATAAAAAATCTATACTAGAAATTTCTATGTAGAAAATATTGTGTTTATAGATATTTAAATGGGCTAAAGAGACATTAAAAAAAAACAAAAACAGGTAAGTACAGTAGATTCCCCTATAAGACGAGTTCTTTTAATTACAATTCTATAAGACGGCGAAAAAATTGTGGCGGTATCCGTAAACAACGGTAAAAAAACTCCTATAATTATGTATAACGTCATCGGGCAGCCGAACTACTTTCCGCCGTCCAGCGCCACGCTACGGACAGTTTAGGCGGGTAAATTGAGTTTAGTATCGTCTGTACATAAAATTATATATAAATTAGGTACTGTATATATAGTTATATATTAACTTAATTTATTGTAACTTTATTATAATTATTTATATACTTTCCGCCGTCCAGCGCCACGCTACGGACAGTTTAGGCGAACTATCGTCTGTACCTATCCTATGTAAATTGCGTACCGTAAGTCTAATACAGCACT